TGTCTGTCTGTCTGTCTGTCTGTCTGTCTGTCTGTCTGTCTGTCTGTCTGTCTGTGTAAGACATTCTTCATCTCCTTCTGTCTGATCCTACAAAAGAACATAAATAAAAACAAACATTCATTTTGGGAACATGCTTCTAATCCTGACACATTATGTTTTTGCTTCAAAGAAATAAACCAACAAACCAACAAACCAACAAACCAACAAACCAACAAAAAGCAAACAAACATTCTGCTATACAGTTTCCATGTCATGTCATGTGGTTCTGATTTATTTAAACAAACAAACAAACAAAACATACAAAGAAAGTGGGTGGTTGGCGGGTGCTCTGGTGTGGTTTACTTCTTCTTTCCTATCAAACATCTGTCGTCCTTATCTCCCCTTCTTCTTTTTTATGTTTGTTACTCTCTTGTAACACCTCTAATCTTCTTGCGCTCATAAGAACTTATGCAGTTGCGAGCGCCGTAAAATCTGTGCTAAAACTAAAAGACAAAGAAACCGTCACTGAGATAACGCACTGAGATAACATGCACCCACCCCACCATGTCTCCCCTAGGGCAAGAAACCAGCAGCGTGTGACCAGTAAGTTCTGGAGCAGACGTGGACTGATGTAACTGGCAGGTTTCAGTTGTACATTCACTATATTGATGACGCGACATGTTCCGCTAGACGCTGCTAATGCTGGCTTTCCTTCATGGAGGAAGTTCTATATGTTTATAATTAATGTGTTACGTGCAAAAGTTACTCATGTGAATGATTATAAGTATTTTGCACCATCGTAGACAATGTTCATGTCATTTCATGACTCCAAGGTGAAAAACTCCAGTATGATTATTACGACTGCTCTCATCCTAGTTGGAAGAAGTAACCTAACAAAATTATATATATGTGTTGCTATATTATTATGGTGATGAGAATGGAATGTACCCCAACGGTCAAAGTATATTATTTTGTTGATACAGAGTGCGGCACAGACTCTTTTTTGGGGGTTTGTTCTGAGCTGACCATCCTAGAACTAGAACTTACAAATTGAACATTTCAAGTTGATTATGTCTTTAAAATGTGAGCCTGTGGGACATGATTATTTTATATCAAACACCTTGCTGATTTGATGTTAAGCCTATACGTACGCCCTAGGGTCATTTTGTACCCTCGGGGTTGAATTCTTCACATTTTAGAATACTTCTAGTACGAGCATCTCTTTTAAACTTTCAGTATTTCTGAAAAAATCATTTTGACAGACTGCTATGCAAAGCGTACGGATCGGATCAACGAGTAAATTTCCTCTTTGGAAGTAGTGGCACAGAGTTCCCCACGTCGTATTAATGTGATAGTAAAACACGACGTACGGATATGGTTAAGTAGAATAGACCTTGCAAGTGACTGTGCTGGAAAAATATTTTTTGTTAGGTTTGAGTTCGCTTTCGTGGCAATTTGAAGGTGTGTTATATTTTCTCATAAAGTTTTTGTGTACTGCTGTACGGCTGGCAGGTACAGAGTTGTGATCAATAAAAACAGAAAAGCGTTTTAAACAATGCATCAAATAAACGTTGTGCTTTAAAAAGTTTTAATGTCTTCTTTTGTTCTTGTTGCTGCTGCTGCTGTTTTTTGTGTTATTGCTGTTTTTGTTGTTATTGTTTTTGTTGTTGCTGTTAATGCTGCTGCAGCTGCTGCTGTTGATGTTGTTGGGGTTTTTGTTTTCGTTCGTTTTTGTACAATGAATATCATCTATTGACGGGGGAATACAAATCCCTAACAAAACAAAGAGAGAGTAAAAACGGCGCAAGCCAGGGATCATTAAACCGCCAAAAGATCGAAAGGCAGGTTATGATCAACGCCTGGTCCTACAAAAGAGACTTGTTTTACCTGTATTACCTGTCCTGGGCAACAACGTCATTGCACACCGGACAGGTCCATAAGTGCTCAGTCCCCCTCCCCCCCAAAAAAAAATCAAAAAAAAATCACCAAAGCCGCAAGGTATCCATACTGATTGTTTTCTTCTTGTTTTTGTCTCTGTAAAAAAAAAGCTAGATCTAACAAAGATACAGGAAACGTGGGGTAAAGGGGAGAGAAAAAGGTGTCCCGACATGGAGAAAAAAAAGGACAGCGGTTGATAAGTATTGTTTGTTCACGTGTCTTGTGGAGCATGGAAACTAGGGTAGGTTGTTCCAGCCAGGTGGGGTGGGGTGGGGTGGGGGGGGGGGGGAATCCTGTATCGGGTTTGGAAAAAGGTGAGAAAGACAACCAAGCCGTTATGTGACACGTCATAACATACATGCACACACACACACACACTCAGACATACACACACACGCACAGATACACACGCACATGCACACACGTACACACACACACACACACACACACACACGCACGTACACACACGCACGCACGAACGCACACACACACACACACACACACACACACACACACCCACACACACACCCACACACACACACAACTACAATTTTAAATGCACATTGAAACATTTTTTTTGTCTTTCGCCAATGATTTTGAATAATTATTCAGGCACGTTCAGAGATGAATGTATCAGGGGTTTTTTTTCTGTTGTTTGTAACATTTTGCTGTCTGGATTTACTTGCAGCACAGTTTACTAGTGTGACGGCCGACTGTAGTTCCTAGGAGACTTGACTCGATACAGAGGCCTAAAACATCTTGCTCTCACTGGAAAATAGAAGGCAAACAAGTCATCGGCAGACCCAGAGAACATGTTAGGCAGAGGGGTTGTCTATCAGGACTTAAAAAAAAACCCTGTCGTCGAAACAAGTCAAATTAATTAAGAGTCAGGCTGCTCATTCTCAATGTAACGGGATTACTATTCTGAAGAATATATTGACATCGGTTTCTTTTTGTTTTGGGGAGGGGGTCGGTTTAGTTTAGTTTAGTTTAGTTTCTATTTTCCTTAAATCTGTTTTTATCAGGTGCCACGGCGATGTGCAGAGACGCTTGAAGCAAACCACAGGCAGCAGTCCCCGACTGTAAATGTTTGCATCTAGATTCTAGAGCAACTTCAATTCTCAAAACAAATAAGTACATGAACAAAGCAGACCAATAGCAGACAGACCTGCATTCTGTATTCGCCAGGCAGAACGACCGTGCTAAAAACAAACAAACAAACAAGCAAAAAAACAAACAAAAAGCCGACGCCGTAATCTCTTGTAATTTTAGGTGAAGGACTTCCAACACCCCGCCACCCCCTAAATTCCATGGTTCGAGTCGACAACCTAGGGAAATACACTAAAAATTACATAATACACAAAAACAAACCTACACATAAGGAAGCACAAGCAAAAACAAAAATAACGAATCAAAAAAGACAACGAAAGAAACTTTGTGCCCGTCAAAGAGAACTCAGCAGATGATATTACGTCACGTCCTGTCGTCAGTAACTGGGTCGGATTTTCTGCCAAAAACTCTCAGGGTCCTTAGTTTGATAACGAAACCTACTCCATATGTTAGGAGGTTAGATGATAATAATGCGTCTCGTCAAACGTTTTAATTCGTATTCAGATTTAATTTTGCTTTTGCTCTAATCTTTTGTTCTTTTTATTTTCTTCTTTAGATGGGATTTTGTCTAAAACTTCCGAGCCAACAATGGCATCAACTCCTCGATCAAGAAAACCCAAGTAATAGTAAGATTCAAACCTCAAAAGGAAACTTTCCACTTGTCACACATCTGT